ACGCATCACCGCTTGATCACTCCTTCCCACCACCCACCTTCACCATATCCTCATCCTTCTCATTCCTCCTGTCTCTCACTACTGTTCCTTGTCCTCCGCATCCTCATCCTCATCCCCATCCTCCTCTTCCTCCTCATCCTGATCCTTATCCTCCTCATCCTTCGCTTCCTCCTCCACCTTCCCCCCCAAGTCATGGGATCTTGGATTTATGAGGGTCGCTTTGAGCAATGTGCAGAACTACGCAAACCTTGCCATGGACAGTAGATGGACAATATATTCGAACCCTCACACATTCGAGGGAGATTCTGAATCACCCCCGCGCCCCCGACATCAATGTTGATCTCAGCAAAGGCGGTGCTTTGGGGTTCGAATATTTCTGTCCCCTCACGACCCCCCCGTCGCCACGCCATCAATATTAAATTCGGGGGTTCGGGGGGGCATCTTGGGCCACAGGGTTCGAATATAATGTCCATGTACCAGGTGGGAGTAGGGAGGAGGGAGAGGAGGAGACTGTACAGATGCCACAAACGTCAGCATTACAATCATAATCGCCCTCATCGGCGGCATCATCTCCACCATCATCATCATCATCATCATCATCATCATCATCATCACCACCATCATCATCATCATCATCATCATCATCATCACCATCAACAGTATCAGCATCATCAGCAGCAGCATCATCATCACCCACAACCCTCAAGGAGGAATGAGGAACAGGAGGGAGGAGGGGGGGAGGAGAACGAGGAGAAGGAATAGTAGGAAGATGGAGGTTCCGCTCCTGGGCGTAAGACGCTGGGGCAAGGGGTGAGACGTTTCAGGTGGAGTGCGGAAGGGTCTGGAGGAATGGGAGAACCCCACAGGATTGGGAGGAGTGCGGAGGGTTGAGGGGAAATGGGACGGTTGTGGGAGGTGAGGAAGGAGTGCGGAGGCGTGGGGAGGACTGGGAGGGTTGCGGAGGTTTCGGGGGGAGTGCGGAGGGGTGGGGAGGAATGGGAATGGGGCGGTTGCAGAAGATTTGGGAGGAGTGCGGAGGGATGTGGAAGGCTGAAAGGGTTGCGAAGGTGTCGGGAGGAGTGCGGAAGGGCGTGGAGGAATGGGAGGGTTGCGGAGGTCTCTTTCGGGAGGTGTGCGGAGGAGTGGGGAGGAATGGGACGGTTTCACAAGGTTTGGGAGGATTGCGAGGGGATGTGGAGGCATGGGAGGGTTGCGGAAGTTTCGGGAGGAGTGCGGAGGGGTGTGGAAGAATGGGGGAGGTGCGGATATGTGCGGATGTCCTGGGAGGAGTGCGGGGGAGTGGCGAGACATGGAAGGGCTCCGGAGGTTTCGGGGGGAGTGCGGAGGGATGTGGAGGAATGGGACGGTTGTGGAGGTTTCGGGAGGAGTGCGGAGGGGCCTGGAGGAATGCGGGAGGTGCGGATGTCTGGGAGGAGTGCGGGGGGATGTGGAATGATAAAAGGGTTGCGGAGGTTTCGGGAGGAGTGCGGAGGGATGTGGGGGAATGGGAGGGTTGCGGAGGTTTTGGGAGGAGTGCGGAGGGATGTGGAGAGATGGTAGAGTTGCGGATGTTCGGGAAAAGTGCGGAGGGGTGGAGAGACTGGCAGGATTGCGGAGGTTTCGGGAAGAGTTCGGAGGGGTGTGGAGGACTGGGACGGTTGCGGAAGGTTTGGGAGGAGTGCGCAGGGTGGGGGGGAATGGGACGGATCGCGGATGTTCGGGAGGAGTGCGGAGGGGCGGAACGAATTCGAAGGGCTCCGGAGGTTTCGGGAGGAGTGCGGAGGGATGTGGGGGAATGGGAGACTTGCGGAGGTTTTGGGAAGAATGCGGCGGGGTGTGGAGGAATGGGAGAGTTGCGGATGTTCGGGAAGAGTGCGGATGGGGTGAGAAGAATGGCAGGATTGCGGAGGTTCCGGGAAGACTGCGGAGGGGCCTGGGGGAATGAATGGGACGGTTGCGGAAGGTTCGGGAGGAGTGCGGAGGGGTGAGGGGGAGTGGGGCGGTTGCGGAGGTCTCGGGTGGAGTGCGGAAGGGCGCGGAGCAGTTGGGAGGAGTGCGGAGGGGCGTGGAGGAATGAGAGGTTTCTGAATTTTTGTTGGCGGAGTGCGGTGGGGCGCGGACGACTGCAGGGGAGTGGCGAGGACTGGGAAGGAGTGGGGGGCCTGCGGAGGAGTTGGGAGTGAATGGAATTGAATGGAATGCAGCGGGGGGCCTCTGTCGTAGACCTCGCCCGAAAGGGCCTCCAGGGGGGCCTAACGAAGATCCGCGGGGGCTCCAAGACGACCCCCAAAGAGGCTCCACGCGGACTGACGGACGGACCCAGAGGCGACAGCGCTGGCATCGTCGACGGTGATGGTCGGAGTCGTGCCGGGCCAGAAGCACGACGTGCCCGAGCCGGTCGTGCAACGCTCTAGGGGTCTGCCGAAATTGTCGGGGGGCGGCATGCGGAGTCAGCCATCGGGGCCTTCCGTGGAGTTCCCGATGGGGCAACGAGGTGTGGCAACGACGATAATGGCGACAGTGATGATGGCGATGATGGTGATGATGTCTGCGCGCAGCGACCCCAATCGCACGCGGCAGGACTACTTGGGCTTGAACTTAGAGCCTCGCTAGTGACGAGGGTCGAGAAACAGCGCGGGCACGGCACTAGCTTCGGGGCCGGCGGCTTGGGAATCGGCACAGTGAATAAATACAGTTTCAGCCGCCGGAGCAGCATGCCAGCCTGCCCCTGCGGGCGCTGCGACGACTCGGACGAGAGGCCCGCCAGCGCCGTCTCGGGGCAGGTGACAAAAATCGGGGCGGACCCCATGTACACCTTGTGCCCGACGTGCTGGTTCTGGGGCATGGTGATGGGCACGGGCTTGCCCTCCAGCCACAGGAGCTGGATGGTCAGGGGGAGGTCCTCATCGATGAACATCCACTCGTCCAGCACCGCGGCCTTGGCCTTGTCCAAACCGTGGAGGCAAAACTGCCCCCCGCCTGGCCTCTCCTGCACGTGCTCACCGCCGAACAGCGGCCGAACCGCCGAGAAGAGAAGAGACTTCCCCTCTCCGCCGAAGCGCCCAGCCAAGGTGACCACCGGGGCCGCCTCGGACCGACCGTGCTTCAGGGACATCAAGATGCTGCTGCACAGGTCGGGGACGTCGATGCGATTCATCGACAGGCTTTCGCGGACGGGGTGCAACCAGCGGCCGCCGCAAACGCAAGGCGTCCGCAAGGCCTCCTTGAACTGTTGCATGACGGGTTTCGTCGCGTCTTCGAGGAAGCTGTCCACGTTCTCCCACGCCCAGGCCTTGTCGATGATCTTCTCCAGCACGTGCTCGTTCTTGAACATCCAGGCAACCACCTTGTGCGAGCAGGACGTCTTAGCGTACGCCATCAACTTGCGCACTGCGTGGGGGTCGTCCGGAGTATTCCGGATCCCAGACCTGACCACTATCGGCCACAGGTCCACTTCCTCGACGCGAGGCTCTGGCTTCCCCTTCTCGCCCTCGACCTGCTCCCGCGCGGTCCTGCGCTTCTCCAAGGCGCGGGCGGTCGTCGGCTCCCTCTTCGCCGCGGACAGCGGCGGGTGGTCCGCGGGCCAAGCCAAGTAGTCAACGTCCAGGGCGCTCCGCGGCTTCTTGGGCGTCGCGTTCGCGCAGTACCCGACGGCCGACCAGTGCCCGTCGTGGCTGCAGGACCAGTGAGAGGCGAGTTGGTACCTGTTGAGCAAGGCCCGCTTCACGGTCAGGAACTTGCTCTTCTTGCCCAAGTGCAAGGCCACGTGGTAGTGCGCCCGCCGGACGCCTGCCACTGGCGCGTGGTATTCTTTGAATACCACCAGCTTCTTGACCCCGACGGGCGCGGCCCCCTGCCCGCGGTGGTTTGCGAGCCACGCGGGGTCGGCGTCCGGAGCGCCGCAGCAATCCAGGAAAGCGTCGCGGACCTCCTCCCGCGAGAAAGCCGCTGGCGCTCTGAGACCCTCCTTGTCTGTGTGCGGCAGAGTCACCAAGTAGACCTCCCGCGAGGCGTTCCTGGTCTCCTCGCCGACGACGTGCTCGAGGAGCGCCGTCTGCTGGCTCTGCTTCCCCACGAGCCTGCGGCGCTTCTCTGGCCTGTCCACCGAGAGCGCCATCCCCCCGCGCGACCCGGCCAGGGCCAGCCCCCGCCCCGCTGAGCCGACAGGCTACAGAGAAAAACGCAATGCGGACCGTCGGGGTGTTCGGGGGCATCGTAAACCGCCGCCTGGCTGCTCAGTTGGGGAGCCCGTTGCACCTGGCGTCGTCTGCGCACCTGTCGCACTTGGACGCGCCCCGTTCACCTGGCGCGTGTGGCCCACCTGTCGCGTGCCGCGCACCTGTCGCACGCGGCGCACTTGGCGCGCCTGGCGCGCCCCCTGCACCTCTGGGCGGGGTCGGCGGATCCTGTCCATGGATGCCGCTCGCGCGGCATTGTTAGACATGTGCAAACATGCATAAAAACCATACTGAACCTACAGTGAACCATCAGTGAACCAACAGTGAACCAACAGTGAACCATTGCAAATTACATAGTGAACCTCAATTTTTATTTTAAAGAAAAGAAGTTCCCTACTCTTTTCTAATAGAATTCGAGGTTCACTATGGTTTTTACGAAGGTTCACTGTTGGTTCACTGTTGGTTCACTGTTGGTTCACTATGTTTTTTGCTGCATGTCTCGTGCGAGGGGCTCTCTGGGGCCGCCAGGGCGCTGGCGCCTGGGGGGCCTCGGCGGACAGAATCAGAATGACAAGATCAGGTACTTTCGACTACGTCTGCTGGCCCTGTAGCCGCAAGGGCGGTGGACGCACGGATTGGTCTTGATCGTGGACCGCGACAGGCTCCCTTCACGCGCCCCACGTCGCTCGCGCGGGTCAACCGAGGCGCGGGCCGCTACGGGCCGCCCGCCGCCCCGGCCCGCTGCGGTCTGCGCCGCGGTCGCCTGCCGCCCTGGCCCGCCGCGAATCGCGCCGCGGCCGCCCGACGAAACCGCGCGCGCGCTCAGTTCCCACCGCCCTCGGCGAAGTGGCCGCCCTTCGCCTCGACCAACAAGCCGCAGCGCTTGTGCAGGCTGCCCATGATGCTGTGGATGTTCTCAGAAGGCGTCGCCAACGCCGTGCGGCGCAGCCGGGCCAGGTACTGCGCCCGCGTCTCCGTCTTGCTCGCGGGCCAGTCCTTCTCCTGCCCCCTCATGCGCTTGTTCAGATTGGCCCAGAAGGCGAAATCAAGCGGCATCAGAACAGGGGACCGCTTCGGCAAGTCCAACGTCTGGATGCCAGCGGACTTCTTCGCCGCCATGCCCGAGCGAGATTTGTAGCCCGTGGGGTCGTTGTCTTCCATGACGCGGAACTTGCCGCGCACTGAAGGGTAGGCCCTCTTCAAAGCGGGCTGGAGCGCCCCCGAGTACATTCGCCCCGCGGCTGCGGCGTTCCACCTGCCGACCACCTGGTGCCACATCAACACCTTGCCCGCGCCGATGGCACACGCGATGGTCACGGAGCCCTTGCCCGAACTCTGCTTCAGAACCTGGGGCGAGCCAAATCAGAGCGCGCCGTCGGCCACTGGCCTGGCGCTGAGTGGCCGCGGCGCGGTCTCCGATTTGCGCCAGCCCGAGAACCTTAGGGTTGCTCGGCTTGACGTGGCCCACGGAGAAGTCCCGCTTGCGCTTCCTGTACACCCCGCGAACCTTGCGCTTTGCCGCCACCTTCCTGTACTTCTCATTGGGCAGCACCTGGAACACCTTGTTGTCCATGCACGCGTGGACGTACTGTGACCACTGGCTGGGGCTCCGGTGCTTGTGCTCGCGGGCCCACTGCAGGCGCTCCTTCTTGTCACTATCAGAAAGGTCAGGCTTCTCGTACAGCGGGCGGAACTGGTAGCCATTCTCAGCAAACGCGCGGCGCACTGTCTTGATGTCGCATTTCAACTTCATCTCGGACTTCAGCATGGCTGCCGTCACTTCCTTTGTGCCGCCCGAGGACTTCAGAAGCTTCTTGTAAGCGCGCTGGGCAGCGAGAAACCCTTTTGGGGTGCGGATGGAATGCTTCGGGCGGCCCTTGGACTTCTTGGTCGTGTTCTTTTTGAACAAATGCTTCGAGACGGTGTCCGTGGAGCGGCTCAAGGCCGCGGCGATCCTCTTGACGCCCATGCCGCTGTCATGCAAGCGGCGCATTGCGACGTGCTCGTCAGCAGATACATGAGTGAAGGATTTCGGCGACATTCTCCGGCTGTGGAGACAACGACGGGCCAAATGCGCTCGGTCCAGAAAGCGCTGCGGTCATCCTTCCAACGGGGGCATCCTGAAAATGGCTGCAGTCCAGTGAGCGAGGGCAACCTATATCTCGGATGCCCTTTATTCCATTAGTAGCGCCATAGGTTCGGGTGGCTTCTGTCCGTGAAAATGGTCTAGATCTGCGCGACATGCGCGCGCAGGTGCGCAAGGGGGAACCATTTTGGGATCCCCCCTCGCTGCTGCTTCGTCGGCTGCCCTGTGGCTGTATCGTTGGCTGCCTGGTTCCTGGTGGCCTGCCTGCTCGGCTGCCTGTTGGCTGCCTTGCTGGCTGCCTCGATGGCTGCCTCGTTGGCTGCTTTGTTGGCTGTCTCGTTGGCTGCCTCGTTGGTTGTCTCGTTGGCTGCCTCGTTGGTTGCCTTGCCGGGTGCTGTGTCGGTGGCCTCGTTGGTTGCCTTGCTGGCTGCCCTGTCGACCGCCTCGCTGCCTGGCTGGCTGCCTCGTGGGCTACCTCGTTGGCTGCCTCGTGCCTCGTGGGCTACCTCGTTGGCCGCCTCGCTGGCTGCTTCGCCAGTTGCCTCGACGGCTGTTTTTTTGGCTGCCCCGCGGGCTGCCTCGTCGGAGGCCTCGTTGGCCGCCTCGCTGGGTGCCTCATAGGCTGCTTCGTTGGCTGCCTTGTTGGCTGCCTCGCCAGCTGCTTTCCTGAAAGCCTACCAGACAACGCCCCCATCAATATCACGAGCAAACGCCTATCCATCTGCCATGGCGACGATGAAGGGAGCGCGGTAACCCAGGACCCAAGGACGGCGAACGAAGGAACAGCATGTGCAGAGAAAAAATCGAAATCATGTGTATGCGCTGACTATATCATCCTGGGTAGGAATAAACCGACCCGTTCGCAGCCTTGGGAACGATGGGGCCTCGGAGGCCTCAGGATGGCTCAAGGCAGCCCTCCACAGGACCGTCTCCAGCTTTCGATAATGCACCCGATGTCTGTTGTGGACGGTGGGACGACAGCAACATGTAACCCTGGGCAGGCAAAATTGAACTTCCCGCAGCTCCGGTAATCCATGGGGCCTCCGAGGCCTCCAGGACGGCCCAAGGCAGCCCTTCACAGGACCGTCTCCTTCCATCCCTCTTTCGGCCCCCTCCGATCCCCTCCCCTCCCCGTTCCCTTCCCCTCCCCTCCTCCCCATGCCCTCTCTTCCCCTCCCATCGCCTCTTCGTCCCTGCCTCCTCTGATTCACTCCTCCCGCACCTGCTTAGAAATCCTCCACGCTCCACCGCTTGATCCTCCCCCCCACCACCTCCCATCCTCATCCTTCTCATTCCTCCTGTCTCTCACTACTGTTCCTGGCCCTCCGCATCCTCATCCTCATCCCCATCCTCCTCTTCCTCCTCATCCTGATCCTTATCCTCCTCATCCTTCGCTTCCTCCTCCACCTTCTCCCCCAAGTCAGGGGATCTTGGATTTATGAGGGTCGCTTTGAGCAATGTGCAGAACTACACAAACCTTGCCATGGACAGTAGATGGACAATATGTTCGAACCCTCACACATTCGAGGGAGATTCTGAATCACCCCCGCGCCCCCGACATCAATGTTGATCTCAGCAAAGGCGGTGCTTTGGGGTTCGAATATTTCTGTCCCCTCACGCCCCCCCCGTCGCCACGCCATCAATATTAAATTCGGGGGTTCGGGGGGGCATCTTGGGCCACAGGGTTCGAATATAATGTCCATGTACCAGGTGGGAGTAGGGAGGAGGGAGAGGA